GTACATGGGAGACACAAAATAATAAGTCCTGGAGCTTTTTATGAATCAGTGTCACAGGCCACGTGCATTGTGGGAGCCCCTTCACCACCTTGGAGGTGTGCTTTTCCTGGTCTCCCTCTGAGGAGAAACGTGCACACAATGTAGCCATTCTCCCAAAGAAGGTTTTCCACCTTCTGAAGTTTGGCTCAGACAGAAATTTAGGTTGCTCTCCACAGAGTTAACAACATGCAACTCACTCCAACAGCAGCTTCAGAGCTTTGGAAACCGCAGGGAGGAGAAAGGTAATCCTCTTGAGGTTTTAGAAGGTTCTCGCTACCATAGTTAATGACTTTCCTCTCTTCATCTCCCCAGCATTCCCACAGCCATCCCCAACTCCTGGCCCCCCGCCATGAAGTCAATGCCTTCAGCTAGCACATCAGTATCTAGCTGTGATTATTATCGCTGCCACTTCGAGCGGATTCAACCTCTTGATGCATGTTTCTGCCTCATTACATGGAGAATCCATTAACTAATGGTAAACAATATACTGAGAATCCAGTAACTAAATGGTAAACACCTTGAATGCATGTGCTCTGCCAAGCTGTCATGTCTTGGCAAATGCCACAGAAGTCATTTACCTTCCATCTTAATTCCTGGACGGCGTGACATTTTAAAACACCTTCTCCCAAGGTCTCTTGGCTTTGAAACAGTCCCTTGCGGTTCTTGCAGAAGCACAGAATCACGTGTGAGGGTGTTTTCTTGGCTCAGCCATATTTTCTGGGAGATTTTGCTAAGGGCTAGGTGAAGTTTCATTAAAGACAACTTTTCTGGGGCAGTTGTGTGTGAGCTGAATATATGAGGGAATACCCAGACACTGAGAAGCTGGACACCTCCAAACCTCTCCTGACATTTTGGGACTCAGGTGCTGGGGATGAGGGATTTGCAGAGACATAGCTAAGGAATGTCTCCTTTTAGATGTATTTCTATATCAGACCTTTGAAAAATCAGTGAACATTTTCCAAAATAGGCAATCAGCCCAGCTCCATAGACTGCCCCTGATGCACTGTCTGCCTGCTTTCCCCGAGGGGGCTCAAGGGCATCTATCAATGCCCTCGTCACTTAAGTTGGTGTCAGGTTTTCTCAGTGAAGTGCCAATGTTCATTGGACTTCTGAAGTTTACCAGGGGCGATCTCATGACATCAGAACTTTATATCTCTTGAACTTCCGTTCAAACATGATGCTGGATGGGGGCTGGAATTCAATGAACCTATCTGGCACTAAAATTCAAGTTTGCTCTCATTTTTCAAAGCAACTTGGCATTTTGGTTCAAGATGCTAATGACGTTAATTAGACACAAAACATTTGCACGAGAAAAAGAAGTTAGGAGAGGGATAAATATTGAGGCCAAATCTGTATAAATATTACTTTACAGCCCTCATCATCCTGATTATTGCACCACGTGGTTAGAAAGTCCATTGAGTGAATCTGCCAATTTTCCAGGGTAAGCAAGCCAATACTAGTGAGTGAGTGTGTGTGTGTGTGTGTGTGTCTGTTGCAGGGGCATTTATGGAATTTAATTACCTCTCCTTTCCAATAAATGAGATGCCTAAAATGCATAATGTTTTCCTTAATAGTTCTTCACTGTATTTTATTTCAGAGGATGCTTTATAAGAAGTAAGAGAGCTATTACTATTATAACTAAAAGCTTGCCCCCTGAACCTGGAGGAAATTCTTTCTGCTTTATCTTGCTGTGAGATCTCGCAAAGTTTGATTTTCTGACGACTAGCATTAGAATCACCCAGGCCACATATATAGATCTTAGGCTCCACCCAGAACCTCCTGATATATCTGAGTGTGGGGCTCAGCCATGAGCATTTCTTGTAAGCCCTGTGCATGCTGCAGGCTGAGAAACCCACTGCCATCCTGAGATGGTATGGCAAGTCTGGGCATTAGTCTGCTGGGAAAAATGGGGTTATTTGAGTATTCCTACAGAGCACACAGCACTGGGGTTATGACTCACATAAAAAAATGGAAGAGCCCTGACTGGTTTGGCTCAGTGGATAGAGCGTCGGCCTGCGGACTGAAGGGTCCCGGGTTTGATTCCAGTCAAGGGCATGCACCTTGGTTGCAGGCACATCCCCAGTGGGGGGTGTGCAGGAGGCAGCTGATTGATACTTCTCTCTCATCAAGGTTTCTAACTCTCTATCCCTCCCCCTTCCTCTCTGTAAAAAATCAATAAAATATATTAATAAAAAATGGAAGAGTCCCTGTTCTTAAGATGCAGATAATAAAATAGGGGCCCCAAATGAACCTTCACTGAATCAGCATGCCGCTTGCACCAGCTGTATGGCCCTAGGCAAGGCACAGAGGCATCATATTTACAAAGCAGAACTGATCATATATCACCTGCTGAGACAAGATGACCTTTTAGGGTCCTTTTAGCATTAAAATCCAGTATTTTATTTGAAATCCATGCACTCGGGGGGGGGGGTGTCCCTCAGCCTGCCCTGCACCCTCTCACAGTCCAGGAGCCCTCAGGGGATGTCCGCCTGATGGCTTAGGCCTGCTTCCCATGGGTTGGGCAACCTTAGTGCTGCCGCGGAAGCAGGAGAGGCTCCTGGCACTGGGCTTTCCAGCCATGAGCCTGGCTTCTGGCTGAGCGGCGCTCCCCTGTATGAGTGCACTGACCACCAGGAGGCAGCTCCTGCATTGAGCATCTCTCCTCCTGTGGTCAGTGCATGCCATACAGACCAGTCGTTCCACTGTTCGGTTGATTTGCATATTAGCCTTTTATTATATAGGATTATAAGAATGACTTGAAGGTGAGAAGAGGCTCTGGGCGGACCTGAATCTGCACAGAGCTCCCATTAAGGAAATGTTTGCTTTCCAACCAAGGCTGCTCAGGGGATGTCTGTGGGCTGAATCACAAAACATTCCAACATTCTGCATTTATGGGGAGTAGAAAGGTTAATGGGGACCAGAGAACAGGAGTCCTGGGCAAGGACACAACCCCCAAAATTACTGCATTGAAAACATTAGTGTCTCATGCAAAATGCAGAGAAAGCCCCTCCCAATAAAAGTCAACCCACTAAATCCCTCCTTTAAAGAAGTTCTGCCAAGTCTGCCCTGTCTCTTCTTGATGAACTCATACCCCTCCCTCAAGGGCCAGTACCTAGGTGATCTCTCATGTACAAATGTCACAGAAAGCTTTCCTGTGGCCCCAACAGGGAATCTGTCCTTTATACTCCCTAGCAGAAGTTTTACTGCAACATTTTCATTGCAAACAGGTACTTGCAAACAACAGGGAATCTGTCCTTTCTACTCCCTAGCATTTACTGCAACATTTTCATTGCAAACAGGTACTTGCAAGTTGACTTCACAACAGCCAGCTCCTGAGTGCAGGGACTGCGCCTTTTTTTTACTCTGAATCTTCAGTGTGTAGGACTCTGCTGCCTCCACCGATTTTTGCTGAATGAAACCAGTTCTCTGAGCACAAGGCTTAATTAGCTGGTTTAGTTTCTCCCGAAGGGTCTGCCCTATCCTGTGGTGAATGCCTTTTGAACTCTGCTGTGAATTGTCTCACCAAGGCCCTGGCAGAGCTCTGGGGCATCAATCAGTTTGCCTACAGAGGAACCTAGGTGAGGCCCAGACAGCTGGCGTTCATAAATCCTGCATGTTGGTGGCATGTGCCAGAAAGACACTGCACCTAGCGTGCATGCTTTGAGTTCTTCTGGAACTAATTTGCATATTCAACAGGTCAGACATCACTGCATCTAGCCCATGAAAACAGAAACAGAATTCACTGGGTACCGAAGAGTAAGAGGCTGGAACTCGTCTGGGCTGCTGGGAGGCTGTGGAATTGTCTCTCAGAGGGAGCTATGATCTTTGTGGTCTTCCTCTGATGAACTTATTTTCCAAACTGCAACCAAAAACTTTCTACACAGGAAGAGGCCAAGGGCCTGCCTGTCCCCCATTACCTAAGGGGATGTTTCACAAATGGCCTTTCTTCTGGCCACGGTCCCTTTGTGCCAAGTTCACACTGGCTAGAAGGACTGGGTGCAATTTTCCTAGAAGAGGGCAGTGAATTTATGGCTCCACATGTCAGAGAGAGGAAAAGAGGGAGGGAGCAATGCTTCTGCCTGACCGCTGTGGGCATGTGACCCTGTGTAGTTACAGCCTCTGACCAGGAAAGGTCAAGGTTCAGTGATTCTAGTTACATCAATGAACACGAAGCAGTCCATCTCTGCTGCCCTGAGGGCTGAATCCATCCCTTGACTGTGCTCCCGGACATCTGGCCTCTGTTTTTCACTGAAGCAAATCTAGCTGACGTGCCCCCTGCAATGGCTTCCTAACTTGTTTCCCTGCCTCTGGCCTGGCTCAGCCTAATCCATCCCCTCTGCAGCCAGCACGCTCTTTGTGAAAGACGGAGGTGATCCCATCACTTCCTCACTTCAAATCAGCCAACATTTCCCGCTGCCCCGGGATCATTTCTAAAATCTTCATCCTGGCTAGCCCTGTGGGGTCCCCGGGGCTTGCTCACAAGTCGCACCCGTCATCACTCCCCGCTCCTTCCAGCGACAGGAAATCTCTTTCAATCCCCTCAGTATAGGTTCCTCTCTTGCCCTTAAGCCTTCCTCATGCAAGGCACCCTCCATCTGGAATGCTCTCCTTCCCCTACCTGTTTTCACACGCCTAATCCCTACTCCCCCTTTACCTCAGCCCCTTACCTCCAGATTGGGTCCTCCCAAAGGACTGTACTTCCCCTAACAATACTGACTGCAGGTGCTCAAGCTGGCCTGTTTGTATGTCTGGGCTGCTCATAAGCCATATGTTCGATGGGAGGAGAGCCTGTCTTTACCGCCATAGCCCCAGAATCTCTCATGGTTGCTAGACACATAGTAGATGGTCAGTAAATGTACTGTGGAGTGAGTGAGTGAACAAATGCATGCTTACCAGGAATGGCAGCCTAGTCTAATTAAATCTCAGGAGGTGAGGTGGGAGGGACGCTAGGCCACACTCACCATTACAGGTGCAGCGCACGTTCCGGTAGAAACGCGGACACACAAAGCTGATGCGAGCCGTGCTGTAGGTCATGAGTGCGTGGGAATCCAGCGACAGGCCCTGCTCACAGTGCTGCTCCTGGCAGTCCAGCCCCGAGCAGTTCTTCTCCAGGATGGCCGAGATGCGCATGACGTTCTCCAGGTGCCTCCTGGCATTGGACAGCTTCTGGATGAGGTAGGCCGGCTTGTAGAACTCGCTGCTGTGCATCTCCACGGCAAACAGCATGTCCAGCTGGCTGGTGCCCGCCACGGGCTGGATGCTGATGATGTGCAGGCTGTCCTGCTTCTGGGTGAGGACCGCGTTCCGCAGGCTGCGCCGGAACCCATGCATGTGCAGCCCCACGAAGTCCTCGGGGGACACGTTCTCGAAGCGGATGGTGACGGTGTTCTGCAGCATCTCGTGCACCAGCTGCTCCACGTGCACGATCACATCGATGGGCACCTGGAAGCGGCCGTCACTCACCGACACGTTCAGGACGTACTTGCCACTGTCCAGGCCTCCCAGGGCGATGATTTTCCCATCATGACTGTTCACTTTGAACAAGCTTTTCTGCTCCGATTTCAGGGCAAACGTGAGCACGTCATACATGTCTTGGTCAGTGGCGTGGATCTTCCCAATGACTCCACCCGGAAAGTCGTCCTCCATGGTGACAATGAAAATCTCCAGAGGGATGGCCGTGGGCTTGTGGATACTTTCCTCAATGACCCGCACGCGGATGTAGGAGTGAGAAACTTGCTGGGGTTTGCCTGAGTCTTTCGCCTAAAACAACCAGGAGGGAGAAAGGCAAGGAACGAAGAAAAAAAAGTCATAGTCATTAAAAAAACAAACACAAACTCAGAAGACCTCTGCTCCTTTCACCACATTCACTTCTTTCTCCATCCCCTGCCACTGGTCTGCAAAACGCTGAAGATGTGCACTTAACTAAGAGGAGTGACTTATCACCTTTAGTTCCCACATGTCTGCTTTGTTATGGACACTAACATGTTTCAACACAATACATGGGGTGAGCAGGGAAGGAGGCTAGAGGGTGCTGTGAGATCCAACATACCCACAATAGGCTGGCCTTTTTTTTTTTTTACTTCTGGACAGAAGCCATAAGGGAACACCATCAACTGGTGTTCCCTCTTGGAAGAAAAAGATGTTTTTATTTTTTATTTTTATTGATTTATTTGAGAGAGAGAAAGGAAGGGAGAAGGAGAGGGGGAGAGGGAGATTTGCTGTCCCATTTTTGTATGCATTCACTGGTTTATTCTTGTATGTGCCCTGATTGGGGATTGAATCCACAACCTTGGCACATTGGGATGATGCTCTAACCACCTGAGCTACCCAGCCAGGGCAGAGAAAAACTTCCTGTTCTCTTTGTATTCTTTCCTTTTGATTGGACCAGGTGGCACCCCTTTGCACACTTAAGAAACAGCATTATTTAAGTGGGACTTGCACAATATTAAGGTTTAGAATAAAGAGTGGTGTATGGAAGGGAAAAATAGGTAGCCTAACTAGAGCCTTTTTTTGTCTTCTTTCTTTATGTTAGCTGATGGAACAATCACTCTGAGAACAGATCTTCACTGAGCACCTGCCACAGGCAACATGGAGGTAGTCAGAGCTGTGGGGCTTCAATGAAGGGCAGGTTCCCACAGGCGGGGTCCCCAGGGCAGGTGTCTGAGGATTCAGGGCTGAAGTAGACCTTGCAGGCTGGATGGAATCTGGGGAGGTGTGTCCTTGTAAGGGGAAGGCAGCCTAAAAGCAGAGGCTTGGGCATCCCACAGACTTGAGTTCAAATCTTGGTCCTGCCGCTCATGTCTGGCTTTAAGTTACTTATCCTCTCTGAGCTTCAATTCTTGTATCTTTAATATGAGTAAAATAGTAGTTTTTACATCACAGGAGTCTTGAATTGTAAGGATTAAAAGACACTGTAATTGCCAAGTGCTTAGCCACGGCCTGACCCACAGAAGTGCTCGTATATGAGAGTTCCTTTTATTACCCTCATCACATGCTTTATGGAATGGAATTTGTGAACCAGAGATGCTGACCTGGAAAATTCATGGAGAAAAGGATATGTTTAGCAAAGTAGGTCGAACTTGGAGTCAAACTGTGGGGGGTCTCAAAGGACAGTGATGAGTTTGGACTTTATAAGCCAGAGGTTGCCCACTCAAATGTCTGAGGCCAGAGAGATGACAGAAAGGCATGAAGCCGCTGGGTGTAAAGTGATAGACTAGTGGGCTGTTGTGGCCTGAGTACTACAGAATCATGTCCTCCTAAAGACCTTGAAATTCAGAATCTGAAAGAGTCTGGGCCAGAACTGAGCCTGCAGGCACACATTTTCAGGGACTGGGAACCTGCAGATGGTTTAGTTTAGGGCCGGGGTTGACACACCTCTTTTGTAAAGGGCAAGGTAAGAAACAGTAGTTTAGGCTTTCAGGGTTATTCAATCTCTGCCAACTGCACAGCTATGATTCCAGCATGGAGGCAGCCATGCAGCATATGTAAACAAAGGGGCCAGGCTGTGTTCCAATAAAACTTTATTGATACAAACAGGTGGAGGGCATGATGTGGTCTAGGGGCTATAGTGTGCTGACCCCTGGGGTAGGGGAATGACAAAGTGGAATGATTAATTTAGAAGGGGTATAGAGATGGATCTGAAAAGAATGCGGCTAAACCTGGAGGAATTACCCACGAGGCTTCTGCAATAGTATGAGCATGGGGCCATCTAGAATAAAGTGGGTGGTGGCAAAGGGAATGTAACTGATGCACACAGGGACCTTGGGAAGGCAAAAATGCAGGACTTGGTGGGTGGTGGTTTAATGTGAGGAATGGGAGGAGAAAGCTTTCTATAGTATTTTCGAAGTCTGAGATGTGAATCTGCTCTCCAATAATCAGAGAAGGTAGGAAAAGAACCATACTCGCTTCTGAGAGAAGGCACTACAACTCTCTCCTTGCCCTTAAGCATCTCTACTGTGATATAAAACCACATAATATAGTTGGAGGAATGCATGGCAACTGAAGAGTTCCACTCACATGCTCAGAGCCCAAAGTCATTCGTTTGGAAGGTTTTATGGAGCACAGTAAGCCATAACTTATCAAAAGAAACGATGTACACAGTTAAATGCTGTACAAATACAAAAAAATTACTATGGTTATGATTGCCACTATTAATAATGACTTTAAGTTGCCCAATTGTGTATAAAAATAGTCACTCAGCCTGGCTGGTGTGGCTCAGTGGTTGAGTGTCCACCCATGAAGCAAGTGGTCCCTGGTTCATTTCTGGTTCAGGGCTTATGCCCTGGTTGTGGGCTCAATCCCCAGTAGGGAGCGTGTAGGAGGCAGCCAGTCCATGTTTCTCTCTCATGGATGTTTCTATCTCTCTATTCCCTACCCCTTCTTCTCTGTCTAAAAATCAACAACAACATATTTTTAAAAAATGGTCACCCAGTTTCACTGATGGGACCCAAATCTTGTTCTGCCAAAATTCAAACATAGGGACATTTGGGTGCTCTCTCATTTCCTGCTCCTATCCACAGGCTGCCCAGCCCGGCCCTTTTCGCCTCTTTGTCCCGTTTCATTTTACACAGGCCAATGACCTTGAGGGAGCAGGAATGTAGGGAGACCACTGCCATCTGAGCACTTGATCCCCTCCTGTCTCACTGAGAAACTTACCAAGCAGAGAGGTCTCTTCAAAAGCAGAGGCCATGATTTGGCTCCATCCCATTAGGACCAAGACTGGCAGCTTCCCCGAGGGGGGCGGCATGGCAAACACTACTCAGTACAAAGCGGCAAGCCTCGACTTTGGGGGTCAATTAGAACCCCAGGAGTTTTCGGAATGCAGATTTCGGCCCTGGGACTGCTGCCTGGCACACTCTGCAGGCACGTCCCTGCTGAACTAGGATGCTTCCCTTCCTTCCTGTTCAATTTCACACACACAGGCCGCTTTTATTGGTGTGAAATTGAATTTGAGATTAAAAGGGGAACATGCCTGCATGGTAATGAATTATGTTGACGTGCTCCACAAAGGAAAACCAACCGATGGGCCCAGGAACAGGCCTGGGGGAGAGGCAGCCGGGCCCGGTGTGGCCAGAGGGGGAGGCGCACCTGGACACGCAGCAGGTATTCCGGAGACTCCGTGTGCCGGAAGACCACGGCTGACCGCAGCGTCCCGTGCGGGTCCAACACGAACTCCTCCTCCTCGTTTCCCGACAAAATAGAGAAGGAGAAGGGAGGCCCGTTGTGAAAGGAGTCTCTGTCTGTCACCACCAGCTGCAAAATGCTGGTGCCTACTGGCTTATTTTCCTGAATAAAAGAGTACATAAGAAAAGGGAGATAAAATTACACCTCTGTTCACATTTTAAGAAGCCCTGTCATTATCGGTGGAGAGCGCTGTGCTAGGAGACAGGGCTTTAGAGGAAGGGATTCCCTGGGATAGTATCTCGTCTTCTGAAAATACGCTGGTGTCTGAAAGCATCGTGCTTCAGTCCTCAGCTGCCTCCCCACAGCTGCCCGATGAGACAATGAGTTGCAGGTGAGAACACAAGGACTTCACCTTGAGCAAGTCTAGAGGTTCCAAAGATACTACTGCCCCACCTTGCCCTTGGCTAGGCTGGGGATGCACTGAGTTCATGCACAGCTCTGGAAATACACGGTGCTCCCTGGCCTTTGTGATCACATCAACACTCCTCTCAGACCGAGAAAACATCAACCTTTTGGCATGTGACATAATCATGTCACAACATGATTATGTTGAGGCCCAACATGGTGACACAATGTCATAACATTGGACTTGGGGGGAGGGGGGAGAGGACATCCTGGCAACTTCCCAGTAAATATACGAAAGCTTATGCCAGATGGGAAATGGGCTTCACACCCCACACCTCAGAATTCAAGTTTTGCCATGTTTCTTGAGGAAAGAGAAGGGGGTGGGTGGGTGGAATATTTCTCAACTTCATCAGAATATTTGGAAGCCCCAGAGTTATTATGCGAGCATTATTTTACGGAACCTCTCTGCCTCTTCCCCCAAAATAGAAACACAAAGGTCTTTGTCATCCTTTCTTGGCTCAAAGGCTAGCCTCGCTTTGAAAAGGCCAAGTCAAATTCCTCTGCAGCTCAGCCACTGGTTCCCCTGCCCCACGCTGTTTAGACTTCGGCATTACCACGGTTAGGGCTGAAGTCAGTCTCATTAGTTCAGGCCTCAGATGATATCGATTTGGGGTTACATGAGCTTGGGTCGCAGAGATAAAGACAATGATATGCAGCAGTTTGGAGGGGAGTCACGCACGGGGCCGGTACACCCGTTTCACGAGCTGAATTAGTCTTATAAAAACCAGGTGTTGGAATAAGAAAACTACTCTGGGTTGTAAAAAGGGTGAAACACTTTTTGTAGGAGAACGAGAGCAGGACCTCAGAGATCTCTTACTTTGCCCCTTTGCCTCAAGTGGTTTTTGGTCATCAGGATTGAGGCATGGCCTCCGTCTGGAACCAGTCGCAGAACCGCCTCTGCCCAGCGTGGATTTCGTGTTCCACACTGACAGTATAGTCAGCGCCACACAAAACAGAAGACTTATCGGTTTGTTTGCTCAGTCTACCAAGGCCATTTCCTCCATAGGAGAGACAGAGAGAGAGAGAGAGAGAGAGAGAGGGAGAGAGGGAGAGAGAGAACCCCCGGGTCACCATCAGAGAAAGAAGGGTGAAATATAACACAGGCCCCTCGCTGCAGATATGAGCCAGGGCCACTGCTCACGGCGCAGGTTCTCGGGTCTTTCACTGCCGACTTCCTGTTGTGCATGTGAAACAGCCTGTCAAGCTGACGGATGTGTGTCATAAAACTGAATGTTGAGTAGGCAAAGCCCATTTTGTTCAGGGGCGAGCACCCAGAGGTGGGAGAGGCAGAGAGAGCCCAGTGGCGACAGTCTCAGAGAAGAGCAGTCCGAGAGGAGGAGGATGGGAGGAAGGTGCAGACCCTGCGTGAAGCTCCGTGGGAGCAGGAGAGAGACGAGAATGCACAGCTGCTGGAAAAAGCATCAGAGAGGAGAGGAAACCCAGAAGGCCAGCAGGTGAAGGGATCCGGTTTCTCTGGCAAAGCGGTGGGGGATGAAGCAGCAAGCTGCTGGCTTTGACTGCCTCTCACCCCATTCCTAGCTCAGTGGTGCAGGGGAGCAGGCTATGGATGGCCAGACTCAAAGTCTTGAATGTTATTCCAAACGGGCCCCTCAAGACCTGGCTCACTATCATCTTACCTTCTACCCACAAAGCCCTGGGCCTCATGGGGGGTGAATCTGAGGCCAAACTGGATCAAGCAGAAGCTGATTCTCTAGACCAGCGGTTCTCAACCTGTGGGTCGTGACCCCTTTGGCGTTCGAACAACCCTTTCACAGGGGTCGCCTAAGACCATCCTGCATATCAGATATTTACATTAGGATTCATAACAGTAGCAACATTACAGCTATGAAGTAGCAACGAAAATAATTTTATGGTTGGGTCACAACATGAGGAACTGTATTTAAAGGGCCAGAAGGTTGAGAACCACTGCTCTAGACTATCTGTGGTCCTCCCAAGACATGGATATCAATCTTGTCTCTGCTAAGTCCTCCACACTGACTGTATTCCCAGACTGGATTTCCTGAACCTCCCGAGGTCAGTTTCCAGCTTCTAGAAACACGGGGAAGTGGAGGTAGCTCCGGGCCTACTACTGTGCTAATTAAGTATCTTTTGAATAAGAGAAAAACAGATGGGAAAAGAGTCATTCTGATTGTAGAATGCCAGAAGATACTCCTTCTAATGTTAAAGAGCTAGTGGATTTGAAGTGCTAAACACATTGCTTATGGAAGAGTGGGTTTAGTGAGTAGCAGCTCTATCCTGAATTCCAGTGTCCCTTTGACTGATGACCCAGTTAGTATCAATCTCCCTCCCTGGCCGGGATAGTACAAAGTAGCTTAAACACAACCTCCGTGGAAAGAAAACAGTTTTTGCCAAAGACAGATCTGAGTTCTAATCCTGATTCTACCACTTCGCTGCATGATCTTGGGTGAGCTACTTAACTCCTCAGATCCTTAGCTCCTTCACTTCACGGGGGTGGGGTGGGGACAAACGGTGTGTGGAAAGTACCTGACACTTGAAAGAACCCCACTGGTGACTGCACATCTCAACATTTGTGAATCAGTTGCAATAGAAAATTCAGACTCTTTTTATACCAGCCCTGTGCCTGGGTGAGTTGATATGAGGTAAAAAACAGTAATAAACCGTGCCGAGTAACAGCAGAGAAAGGAAGCTGAGTGTGTCAAGACAAGTGCCCGACAGTCCCAATTCACGCACCTGAATCACAGCGGTATAGTTAGCAGGTGTGAAGACCGGGCTGTTGTCGTTCACATCGGAAATGTCAATGTTGACGGTGGCAGTTGACGACATCACAGGAATGCCACTGTCTGCTGCCTGGACAAGCAGGGAGTATCCGGACACCTGTCGAAGCACAGAGAGCTGACAGTGAAGAAGTGCAGTGTCTCCTTCCTTCTGCACAAACTCAGAGGCGCTGCAGGCTCTGCTCGGCTTTGTTGAAGTTCAACCATCTCCTCTTAGATTCTAAACTAGGGTTTCTCAACCTTGGCACCATTGGGGCCAGGTAATTGTTTGTTGTTGGGGGCTGACCTGTGCTTGTACAATGTCTAGGGCATCTCTGGTCTCAACCTACTAGAAGGCAGTATCACCTCCTGCCAATTTGTGACAACCAAAAATTGACAGGCTCCAAACATATGGTGGTGGTGGTGGTGGGTACCCATAGGTTCCCAGGGTTGGGGGCAAAACCATCCCTAGTTAGCATCGCAGCTCTTGGCCTTTGTTCAGACAGGACAATTGTCAACACTGATCTACCTTATCAGTTTTGATACTTCGGGAGTTAGGGGGTCTATATCACCCAGAGAGGTCGTTCTGCTTGTTAGCATCACTGCTAGAGCACCTTTATTCCCATATTTAATTTCTCCTTGAAGATAGTAGTTTTTGGCCAAAAAAAGATAATGTTTAGAAACTTAGTTCAACCTTGGACAGAGGAATTTTCTGCATCATTCTTTTTGACCTAGATTCCTTCAGGGGGTCCTTCCATACCACAGGATCCCAGTGCTCAAGATGCTTTTCTGCCTCCTTGCTGGAGGAAGGACCAAACTTCAAACCATTCAGGAAGACTCATATTTGCTTTTCCTTAAAACATTTGTAAGTAAGAAACTGCCAACATCTATTGGCAGAAAATTCTTTCAAAGTTCTAACGCCAATACAGTGCTGCATTTTAGCCCCTCCCTTTTCACTCTCAGCATTTAGAGCAGAGAATCTTCCTACTGCTACTCATTGAGCCAGTGCCCGATTCCAGTGACGGGATGGGTGTGGATGGGAGTGGGTGGGAGGAGAGCTGGCTTAAACTAGCTTACCCGTTCCCGGTCCAATTTCTTCTTAACCTTCACAAGTCCCAAGACAGGATCCACAGCAAATTCATTGTCCCGATCGCCACTCACAATGGAAAAACGAATCTGTCCGTTGGGCTGGCTATCTGCATCCTCTGCTATTAGCTTGATGGGACACAAGCAAAACAGAGGAAAGGCATGACACAAAAGGTTTATTCTTAGGGTTCCAGGTCTGCACAAATGGACACAGCTCTGGCGGTTTTCGTAGGCACTATGATCAGCAGCGACAGCGAGCATAACCCCAGGAAGACATGATGGGTTTGGTTCCAGGAGGAAGCCACTAATGCTGGAGCTGCCATTTTATTTCTGTTAGTTTTTACTTGCTGACAGCCTGCTGCTAGTTGATTTTCCTCAGGCCCGGAGCTAGTCAGGATAGAGCCAGAGCTAACTGTTAGGGATACTCTTATGATTCTTTTCCAATTCTCAACCTATGCATTTCCATGTTATGGAAGCCCAAGAAAACTCCCTCTCCCACCTGGCCGACATACTCCCCACGGTCTGCTGCTCATGTTGGTGTTGCTGGGATTTAAATGTGTGAGAACAGTTTCACAATGTCCAGGAAGGAGAGAGGGCCTGGGAAGCCCACCCACAGCCTGGTGCCGGGAGAGCCAGAGATAAGGATGAGTGGAAGGGACCTGCCCAACCTAGGGATGATGAGCATGGTACGGACGGGATTCACTGTTTCCAAAATGTAATGGGTAAGTCCCCGAGAGCCTGTGTGCTCTCAACACATGATTTGTTCTTATTAGAAAAAAAACCTTCTGGAAAGAACTCTACGAGTGGCCTATTCATCTTAAATTTGCTCCAATTTCTCTCTCTCTCTCTCTCTCAGGGGCTGGGAGGAATTTTATTCTTTCCTTAGCTACCTAATATCATCTAAAGTCTCTAGTAGGAGCCATTATTATTATTACAACTTCATTCCATGGTGTATCTTATTTTCTCAAAAAATACACATTCCTGGGAGGACAGTGATTATCAGTCACTTGCACCTTGATAGAAATGCATTTTTCAAACCCTTTCTAAGACACCCTGGAGAAGGAACAGTTGAAAGACTGGTGCCTCACTAGGGTTCTTGGGGTTAAAAGGACACTGAAAGGAACGTGGGAAGAGAACCCAAGACAGACTTGGCTCACTTTTTCACTCCATTGAGGATTATTAGCCCCAGAATCTGGCCCTCCCACTGGCACCTACCAAAATGACAGAGTCCCCAACCAAGGCATCTTCACTTATGACCGCGCTGTAGACATCTTGGCTGAACGTGGGAGGATTGTCATTCACATCGGTGAGGTTGATGTTGACGGTGGCCACGGCGCTGAGAGCCGGGGTGCCCCCATCTTTAGCTTCCACCACCAGGTAAAACTTTTTGCATAATTCATAGTCCAGGACTTCAGAGACTAAAATACCCCCTTTGAAGAGAAATGGGAAGCTTTAGACTTGATTAGGAAAAAACAGTGGTAAGCAGTTCCACAATCATGGAAATATTTATAACATCATCTCCAGCCAAGACTATTAGCCATTCAGGAATTTGTTTATTGAATGCCCTTCTGAAAGCACCCGGAGTCTGATGAATGCTGCCAGTGAAAACAGAGCGACCCATCAGACACAACGCTGAAGGCGTCAAGTCTCTGCGTGTTTCTGCAATAGTTCTTTTCTCAAGCAGCCGGAAAGCCGCTGGCATTAGTCGCCCTCATGCAAGTAAGCAGAAGGGACAAGAACCACACCCCTGATAAATGTCTCCCAATGACTCCTCACGTGGACCCGGGCTGACCGAGAATGAGCCGAGATGTGTGGGTGTGAGTGTATGATCCCATCCCTCGTCAGCAAGTAAATACTTCCAGAAAGCTGAAATCTCATTAAAATAGCTCCAATGTTCCAGGCCTTCAGCTTTCTGTGCTTATCTAAAACTAGGATGGCACAAAGAGGGCAAGGATCTCAGAAACGCCAAGGGATCGTGACACAGTGGAAAGGGAAATACCTGGGAATCAGTGGCCAAATAGTGTGAGCTCAGGGTCCACAACTATAGGACAGAGGTCATGACCGTGTTACAGATGTATTTAAATTAAGCAAATCGAACAGGTGAAAGCAGCTTGCTGGGTGCCTCCCCTGGGGGAAGTTCCATGAGAGCTCTTTCCCTCCCTGCCCAGCCCTTTGTGGTGAGGCAACCCCATCCTGCCTTCATTCTGCCATTGGTTACTGGTCATTGTACTACCTGCAGAGCAGCTCTCAGGGGCACTGACCCATTTTCCCACCTGAAAAGCAACCAGCAGGGCCAAGGTGAGTATGTCACATCCAACTTCTCTAGGAGCGAAGGCTGCCCTTCACTTAAGGCGAGAAACAGAAGTCATGCCAATGACAGGAGCCTCTTTCTCTCCATAATTAAGTTTTCTTAGCAGTCATCACCCTTAGCACTTCATGTCTCGTTATCCAGTGCCAAATGTAAACAGTACTTACCCATTTCCCCATGGTGTCCATATACAATATCATAATTAGACCAGCTAAGACGAACACATATTTAAATGAGGAAAAGCCCCATACCTTTTAATTTGAAGTAATGACCTTAATAAACAGAGTTACTGCTGGGAGAAGCCGCTAAGGTAATTCTTCCGTCAATATTTCCACCTCCCTATACTCAAGGTCAGGGACTCTATCTCCTTCATTTTTTTGCACCATCCATAGCATAGAAGTGTAATTTAGATGTTAAGCAGGTATTCCAAAGTCAGGAAGATCTGAGTTCAAATCCTGAATCCTCTACTTACGGTGGACCCTGGGAAATTATTTAACCTCTTTGAAGCTCTGTTTTTCCTTATATGGAAAACGTGAGATATAACTAATGATGTAATAGGAATCTAGTGCATCTGCTATGTTAGTGAGTGTTGCTAATTATGGTAGTTTCTAGTTTATATTTACTGGACTATCCAAATGGACTTCCTATGCTAACTTGCTCAACAAGTGCATATTCCTTGAGTAATGAGGGAATTATGTCCAGTGGCCGGGAAGTGTAAGACTCACCTTACTTGCAAAATGGGACTACTTTGAAAATATTAATACACACACTGTATAAAAATACAAGGAAGAATATGTTTACTCTTCCAAAAACATCTAAGCTTATATTCTAAATTACCAACTTTATTTACCCAGATTACCCCTAATAGTTTTAACTCTCTGATGCAAAAGCCCTAGGGGTTTCTCTTGTTTCTTCCTGGGCACCTTTTCCCTAGATCAGCAGTCGCCAACCGGTCCACAGACCACTGGTGGTCTGTGAGGTCCAAAAGGTGGGCGACCGCTGGTTTAAGGAAACCTTTGGAGCAGCGGTCACCAACCGGTGGTCCCCGGACCGCTGGTGGTTCGTGAGGTCCGAAAGGTTGGCGACCGCTGCCCTAGATGATGCCACATTATCCCCAGGGTTTCAAAAGCGTGTGGTGAGAAATGACTATGTTGTGACCAGGAGCAGTGACAGGGTTCAGATACGGTCCCAGTTCCAGCTGACAGGGGTGTGGCTGGGAGGACCTGCAGGTCACTTATCAATGTCTGCCTTGGCAGGTACCAGAGTGTGGATGGTGGTGAGCAGATGCTCATCTCCAGGAGCACTTCCCAAACTCATGATCCAAGTTAGAGAACCAAGAAACAAACAGCAAAGAGAGAGGAATAAACAAACCCCGTGCTTGCTGTACAAAGAATACTTCCTCTCCGCAGCTAGGAAGCACATCGCTGCTCCCAACCTTCCTGGGAAATCCTGGAGACAGCCTGGGGGTCTAGGATCTGCCAAGTGAGCCCACAGCAGGGGCTTCCAACTGAGGAGGGCATCCTTAGAAGCAGGGTGCCAGAGGGCACTCTGGGATCTGCCAGCTCGCCCTGCTGTGTGAAGTCTTATTTCTGCTGCCAGGGAAGTGGCAGGAGAAAGAGCCCACCAAGAAAAGTGGTTAGGGGGTGGGAGTGGAAGCAGGACAGAATGAAGCCTTGAATTCTAAATGGGCTGCTGTTTACCCACCTGTCCTTGGGTTGATCCTAAATTTCCCTTGTTCATTCCCAGACCGAATGAGATACGTAATCTCAGCATTTGTGCCGATATCTTTGCTGGTGGCGAAAACGGTAAGGACTTGGGTGCCAGGGGAGGTGTCTTCAGGCACTGTCACCAGGTAGTCCCTCCTTTCAAACACAGGGGGGTTGTCGTTGATGTCCAGGACGGTGATGGTGACGGTGGCGAGAGAGGACAGGGCCCGCCCGGGGCTCTGGTCGGTGGCCTGCACGCTGATGTTGTAGGAGGGCTGCTGCTCTCGGTCCAGCGGCTGCTCCAGGATGATGATGCCGGAAGACTCGTCAATGGAGAAGAACCCACCGGCCGAGTCTGCCAGGGAGTACACGACCTTCCGATTGATGCCTGTGGGAGACGCAAGAGCGTGAGCACAAGGAAATGCAGCCTGATGCTGGGCTCAAGAATCTTGTGGCTGTGCTGACTCCGAAGGACCACACCAAGAAAAACAGCAACTATAGAATCAAAACCCACAGATTTGCTCCTACAAAGATGTTAACTTCAGTTTGTAAATATATATGAAGTAAATTAAATAGTAAAGAAATAAATATTGGCAACAAATATCAGAAATAGTTGGATATTCCTCAGATATTGAAGGAAAATATCTAAGATGCCAATAAATACATGTGTGAAAAGATGTGCCACAGAAAGAGAAGTACTAATCAATTAATTAATCACTTCAACAAATGTTTTCCCAGAGCCTATCAGGCACTGTTTATTCTAGTGCCACAGAAAGAGAAATACAAAATTAATGAATTAATCACTTCAATAAATGTTTACCTAGAATCTACCAGGCACTATTTATTCTAGATGTCAGCGATTCTAGAAATGGGCAAAAGCCAAGCATTTGCTGTGGAAATTTTTACATCCTAGTGGGAGTAAATAAGAGATTGACAACAAAGAATAAAAATAAATGGCATGTTTGGGAGTAAAAAGGGAGAAAAATAAAGCCATAAGGGGGCATAGCAGTGCTGGGGGGAGAGAGTATTTAGGAGATGGAGGGAAGGGTGGTGATTTAAAATACAGTGGTCAGGGAAGGCCTTGACATTTGAGTAAAAACCCCCTAGGAGAGGAGGGAGTGAGCAGTGCAGCTGTCTGCAGAAGAACACTCCAGGCAGAGGAACAGGCAGCGTGGGGGTCCTGAGGGGGAAGCCCATCTGGGTGTTTGTGGAGCCCTGCAGAGAAGACAGTGTGACTGGAGCCAAGAAGAGAGAAATGAAGATGAGATCAGGGGGCAGATCCTGTGGGTGGGGTGGTCAGGTGGGAAGCCATTGGAGGGCTGGGGGAGTCATGTGATGTGACTTAGATTTTAACAGGATCACTCATGAATGAAGAGCCGGTAAGAGAGGAAGCAGCTGGAGGCTCCCGCAGGAATACAGGTGTGTGCTATGGCAGCTTGAACAAGGTGGTGGTGAAAGGGATGAGAAGTGAGAAGGGGTCTGGTTCCAGATCTACTCTGAACATGTAGGTGGTGAAGATACTGTTGTAATTAACTAGTTATTCATAACAGGAAAGGAAGAAAGGGAAGACCAGACACTAGAAGCATGTTCCCAGCAAAACAACGGGGGAAGGATCCAATAAAGGGAAGATAGATACATGCCCAGTAAAGGAGGGGTGACATAGGGAAGGTACTTTCCTGTCAATCACACCTGGGGACAGAGATGATTGGTCACAATGGGCGTGGCCACTGCAAGGGTGTGAACATCTGGGAATACATATTCACCTAAGAAATTCATTCGATTGTTGCGCTGGACTCTTGGCTTGTGGGGCTCTTTTGCTCCCACTCTCTTGCATTGGCCCCTGTGGCCCTCAGCCACGAGGACCCCCACATAATGGACTAATGGGCTGCAGCGGGAAACACAAGCTAGGCTAGCCTGAGGCAACAATTGGACTGTACAGAGATGGAAAGGAAACTCAGGACACTGGCTCTGATTTTAGCTCTGCTGAACCCCCAGCTACATTCTTCTATGACTAGACTAAGGGAAACTGGGACTTTGGAAACCCAGGGGTGTAATTCCACAGAAATAAAGCTTTCTACTATATAGCGTTCTCCTGTGGGGCCCCTGGCAATGCTTATTCCAGCGGTACCCCCAGAAGCCCACACCCATGAGCAACAGGGGAAGACGAGGCACCCCCTTCTCCCTTAACAGTGAGATATGACTGTTTTCTGACTGTGGCACTGGCAAGCCAAGGGATGCGGCAGAAAAAAGAAGATTCCAGGATGACTCTTAGGTTTTGGCCTGAGCAAGTGAAAAGAGGGAGTTACCATCAGCCGAGATGGAGAGGATGAGAGAGGATGAGGATTTGGATGGACCAGGAACCGCATATTGGACAAATTAAATTTGGGATGGGCATTTTACTAGTATATTTAAGTAGAGATTCAAGTAGGAAGTTAGTGCAGGGGGCTGGAGATCAGACAGGTTCAAGCTGGCGCTATAAATTGGAGGGTCCTCAGCATTCAGATGGCCCACTGAGCCAGGAGAATGGATGAGGTCATAAGGGAATGTAAAAGAAACCTAATGGCCAGTGAGCCTGGGGCACCCCATCAAAGAAGGGGGGAGATCTAGTTAGAGGGTGACCTCCAGCTCTATGATTTAAAGCAATGTACTTAGTTGCCAGAATACAATTTTATCTTAATATATACGAAAGCTGAAACATATCAACCAGGAAATACCCATCAACAACCAGCAAGTTAGTGACTGATGACTGGGTTGACTTCTGGTTCTGAAAACCAGTTTAACTGTTTTCATCCGAGGATCTCAGCACTGCAACAAGGTTTATAAACCTCAAATTCACCAGTCGTTAAGATTTATAAGAATAAAATTTTAAAAGCTGTGTAGGCTGAAAAAGCACCACTTGGATCCTAAGTACTCTTAATGAGGACAGTCAGCAGTCACGACTTCCGCTATGACAACATCTGAAAGTGTCTTTTGTGAATCATGGACCTGCAGCATAGAAGCACTTAGAGGGCCTAAGCCTGTGTTGTTTTCTATGGTAACACCTCACCACGGGGACAGACATTTGGCAGTAACTCCTCCACTGTACAATTTCCCTTAAGCCAAAATTCCCAGCAAACCAATAAAATAATATATCTAGAGGGGATGACATAAATTGCATTATGTGGCTTTAACCAAAAGGTCAACACTAAGAGCTTGTTCTTGGTTCCATTCCAGAGAGTCCATTTTTTCTAAAGTTTCATCATTTACTTTAATTTATTTCTCAAAACAACCACCGTATAATACATAAACACAACCTCTGATTTTATTGGTGGTGAGATTTAAAAAAAAAACAAAAACGCTTTCCTCGTCTCTTGCTGCCGCTAGAAATCAGGCCCCAGAGCAGAGGTTTTCGGGATGGTTTGGGGCTATTTTTGGAGTGTCTGGAAGATTTAATTTTTCAGCATCAATTCCTAGGCCCTAGGGTAAATGCACAGAGGGTTGTGCAGGTGAGCAAGCTTGCACCTGAAACACAGTAACACTGCCTGGGTGTCAGAGCAGGTCGCCTGCTCCAGAAGCTGCCTTGACTAGTTGGATGGTCACAGGACACCTCTCAAAGTCACAAGAGTGAATTTATGGAAACATATGAGCAATGGACATAAATACATCAAATAGTTTTCAGGTTTTTAAATCACACACATTCCCTGTGGATTTGACTTCCACCCCCAACTCATGGAAGACCGGTTTTCCCAACAATAAGATGGGGCAGGAGATTCATGCAGGGGCGTTCCTCTGAGCATTTGCTGACAACTATAAAACGCACTCCACTGATGCATCAGCCAAGGCTGATGGATTTGCCTGGCGCCACTAGCATTTTTAGGTAAGCACCAGGGCCAACGTCCTGTTTTCCCAACGCTCCCTGCTCAATCCCTTTAAGGATGTAAGTTCTGCTCTTGGACATACTTCCTCTTCAGGCCTGAAGATCATTTAGGAAGCAGGTCCTTTTGGATTCCCGGTGCTGGGAGCAGCTGAGTTGGGAGAGACAGGGGCTGGATTTAACATATGCAAGGCCTAAAGGGAAGGTGCCTGTGTCCCCTTCCCTGGGACAGGGAGCTGAAATCTCAAAAATATCTCCCATGTTCCCAGTCTTCAGCTTTCTCGTCCAGCCCCATTCAGAGGCACCGGACTCTGCTCAGATCCCCAAGCAGGAGATGCTGCGTTCTCCCGTGTCTGCTCAGCCGGCCAGTCCTATTGCTGGGGCACTGCGCTTACAAGGCTGACATTAATCAGCCACACAAAGACCATGGCTCCCCTCCGGGCAGATCCTGTTCATTTAAACTCGGTGACAGGATTTTTCTGCTTTACCACGCAGAAAAACCATCCCCTCCCCCCAAGTTTCTGACCTAA